GTCCTCAAATGAAAATTAAAAATGAGAAAAAGTCAACTCTTGATTTATTGGATTGGGATATTCCCCTCCCCCCCTCCCCCCAATCACCAAGCGGAAATCAAATTGAGCTGCTAGCAGGCTAGAGCTACACATCCCCTGTAGTGTTCAGTCCGCAAAGGAGATCATGAACTGAATCAAGCCTTGCAGGTTTTGTGCGGAGGGTTGAACTCAATCCTCCAAGAGGTAATTTCACCCTCCTACATCATCCCTCCTTCCCCCACTTACTTATGGTAAGTGGGTTGCATTCCTGAGTCTGATTAGAGAGGAGCAGGAAAATAGAATGTCAGCTGCAGAGACCAACTGCAGCTTAGGTGACAGGGAGTTTTATTTGCTTTACAGTGAAAGGCAGAAGGAACCCAGCTTGACTTTCAGATCCCAGGGTGAATTTGCAGCACCAGCAAAAGTATTAGGCCAGATCCGCCACCGCTGTCAGTCATCTTAGCATCACAGAGTCAGTGGAACTACATTGATTTACATCAAATGAGGATCTGGTCCATCATATTTTGATTGTAAGCCTGAGAGAACTTAAACTACTGAGTGAGAGTAAACGTGGAACCTCATAATATCATTCTAAGAGTCACTTTTCAGAGCAGATGGCTCTCTTTTAATTCGACCAGTCTCAGTGTGCAAGAGTTCTGCATTTGTTCAATGTGGACTCTGGAAGAAGGGAAATGTTTGGGGGGGGGAGCAAGGGGAAGTGGGGGAGAGAACCAAGCAGTGCCGAAATCTCTGCAGTAATTAGCTCAAAGAAGACTGGACACCACAAGAGCAAATAAAATGCTTATTGACTTTTGACAGAACTTTTCTACAGAACACGAAATCTTAAAACATGAGGGGTCCTGTTGGGATCCATAACAGCATGGATGGATGTAAACCAAATAAAATAAACATTTAGGTAGGGTCTGAAGCAACTGAATAAGCCTCTTTTATCACAGAGAGATTAACCATCAAGCTTCAAATTCTACGGAGATGCAGCACATGTTAATGTGAGTGATTAGAGAATTAAGGGTCCACTAGCACTGGCTTAAGCCAGGCCTATTGTGGGGAAGTGCTGTGTAAACTCATCCTCCATTGCCCTTATAGTGCATCTCAATATTGATGTTTAACAATTAGAAGGGGAGCTAACTAGTTATGCTGATACAAATGAAATATTCAGTTATACTGTAATGTAACCAGTCACTCAGTTACACTTTGTTGTCATCTGGCTTGGGTAGGGTTCATTACATTGACTAGCCTCACTCCTTCCATACATCTGGAATGAAATTGAGATCTCCCAGGACCTGGGGAAACCAGAGACAACATTCCATCCAGAGTCCTTCCTTGGTTTCAACTCAACCCCGCATATCCCAGGGTAGGACGTTGGGAGTTTAAGTAGCGTCATACGGTGCAGACATGATAAATATAGCTCAGCGTCTTGATTTAAGAAAGAATGCAGTAGCCTGGCACAGAACAGTAGGTTGCAGAGCAAAGAAATGGCCTCACTTTTCCAATCTGAATGCCTGCGTTAAGAACTGGATTTGATCACAAGCTCGGTGAATTTAGTGGTCTCAGTCTCGTTCCCTAGTGACCATTTGTCCATATCCCAGACCGACCACCCATTTCAGCAGAGTTGGAAATCTCTTCACAAGAAGGACAGAACTAGTCACAGTGTCAAGAGAGTGGGTCAAATATATCCCAACTGCAAATCCACGGAGGATAAAGTGTTTACACCAAGGATTTATTGGAACCCTTGGATTAATTAGTTACAGCAGAACAAAATAGTCACTGCTTTTCCCATTTGCAAGTTAGTCTTGATTTTAATAAAGACAAGAAAAAAGAGAGTAAAGCATGACCTAAACTAGACAAATGAGACAGGGTGACCTTTATGTTTTACCAGTAGTAAGTGTTGCAACAGCTATATTTCAAAAGCCATAAGTCATCAAGATCACATGGGCCTGATTTGACCACAACAGCCTCTTACAAGTTCCAAGTTTGCTAAGCGATAGAAAGCAGAGGTTGATCAGGATGTGCAGAACGGGTGCATATCAGGTAGAGTTTTCATAAAAAGAGTGGACTGTTATCAGCTTTCCATTCTTTAAGACAAATGCACTGTCAGCTGATAAGGTCATATATTCATTTTGGACTCGTCATGTACCATTGCATTGAATACCATAGTCAAGGTGACTAGCATTGATTAGTGTAACCCACTATTCAGGGCGCATTATGTGCCTCTACCCCTGTGGCTGATCTACAGAGGATAGTTGCCTGCGGTGGCCCTCAACTAAGGAATTTAGTCCTTTAGCTCAAGTGGCAGTTGTCTGTGTTGTAGAGCCAAAGCTCTTGAGTTCAAATCCTGATGCTGGCTTGTGATATATTAGCACACACAGCCTACTTTGAGTTCTTGACTTTCAAAATAATGTAGGTCCTGGAAATGCATAAAGAATACTTCATAACAATTTGTTTCAGGTCAGCATTTGCAGCAGGTAATCAAGATTTTCCCAGATACTCCCAAGTGATGGCAATAGCCGTGGAGTCATGGCCAGGCACGGCAGCCCTTGCAAACAACTGGTAGCACCGCAGCAGAGTTATGCAATCATAATCAGCCAACCTAACAGAGCATGCTGGCCCCAATCCTGCATTCCTCGCCCATGCTAGTCATTCTTACTCATGTAGGTAGGCTCACTGAAGCCTGTTATAGAGCTGGGCCCTTAGAAGGCATGGCTTGGTTTAGCCTGTGATTCGTGCCCAGCGTTCAGATCAGTTCATTAATAAAAAATTCCCTTCCTGACCTTCACAGTAGCAGAAACCCCCCTGGAGTTTAGGTCACACACAAAACGAGCTCTCCTGGAGGAGTCCCCAGTGCACACCACACCAGCGAGAGATCAGTGCCAGCAACTCTCTCTCCCTTAGCCAGGAACTGCAACATCCCACAATGTCTCTCCCCCTCACTCTCTCTCTCTCTGTGTGTTTGCTCAGTGAGACAGAAGCAATACCAGTTTGCAGCACAATAAACCATGTAAAGGAAGCATCAATTAACTAGAATACATGGATATAGTATTTAATTAACTGATAGGCTCCACGGTTACTGTATGATGTCATGGAAACCTTGGCACTCTTGGGTGTAACATCACAGATGCCAACTGGGAATTTTAACCATCACATTTATTTTTAATTAAAAGAAGTCAGGATTCAAACTTTTGATCTGAAAAAATATTCTGACTCTCCCAAGTATCTTTTCCACTAACATAAATCTGTGTGGCCTTTAGTGCTGCCAGAGCCTTGGTTTGGTGCCTTTTGCAGCATGGAGGCCAGGTGCATTATTCACTCATTCAGGGCCACTGTGAGTACCTAAGACTCTTTGTTCAGAAAGTTAAAGAAATAGCCCACAAAGCTCTAGGAAACAAGATTAAAAAAATCATTAGGAACTAGCTTGTTAGACCATAACATAATAATACTTTGCATTTATACACTGCCTTTGATCTAAGGATCTCAAAGCACATTACAAACATTAATAGATTTTAAGGCCAGAAGGGATCATTAATATATCATAGAATCATAGAACTGGAAGGGACCTCAAGAGGTCATCTAGTCTAGTCCCCTACACTCATGGCATGACTAATATTATCTAGACCATTCCTGACAGGTGTTTGTCCAACCTGCTCTTAAAAATCTCCAGTGATGGAGATACCACAAACTTCCTAGGCAATTTATTCCAGTGCTTAACCATCCTGACAGTTTGGAAGTATTTCCCAATGTCCAACCTAAACCTCCCTTGCTGCAATTTAAGCCCATTGCTTCTTATCCTATCTTCAGAGGTTAAGAAAAACAATTTTTCTTCCTTCTCCTTGTAACAACCTTTTACATACTTGAAAACTGTTATATCCCCTCTCAGTCTTCTCTTCTCCAGACTAAACAAACCCAATTTTTTCAATCTTGCCTCATAGGTCATGTTTTCTAGACCTTTAATCATTTTTGTCACTCTTCTCTGTAATCTCTCCAACTTGTCCACATCTTTCCTGAAATGTGGTGCCCAGAACTGGACACAATACTCCAGTTGAGGCCTAATCAGCGCAGAGTAGAGTGGAAGAATGACTTCTCGTGTCTTGCTTACAACACTCCTGCTAATACATCCCAGAATGATGTTCACTTACACTGTTGACTCATATTTTAGCTTGTGATCCACTATGACCCCCAGATCCCTTTCCGCAATACTCCTTCCTAAGCAGCCATTTCCCGTTTTGTATGTGTGCAACTGATTGTTCCTTCCTAACTGGAGTACTTTGCATTTGTCCTTATTGAATTTCATCCTATTTACTTCAGACCATTTCTCCCGTTTGTCCAGATCATTTTGAATTTTAATTCTATCCTCCAAAGCACTTGCAAAGCACTCTCCTCCCAGCTTGGTATCACCCGCAAACTTTACAAGGGTACTTTATCTGTACTCTATATGCCATATCTAGTCAGACTTCCTTCATTATGCAGGCCATAGAACTTCACCCGGTAATTCCTGGATCAAACCCATAACCTCTGGCTAAGCTACAGCGTATCTTTTACAAAGATAGCCAGTATGGATTTAAACATTAATCAGCCAAACCTCATAACTTCAGCGACATAGACAAATATTATCCAGAGTTTACAGCTGGAGAAACTAAGGCAGAGAGTAAGTTGTTTGCCCAGAGTCACATGGTAGGTCAGTGCCGGAAATAGAACTCCGGGGAGTCTGAGTCACAGTCTTGTGTTCTAACAGCTGTGACACTGCTTTGTTAAATAAGCCTACGATAGGTGTGAAAGTCTGATTTCCAAAGTGCTATTTCTGTGGTACAGTCTGTAAAGTTGATTTTCTTTTAGACATTGAAGTTAAATCCTTGCATTATATATACACAAATACCAACTATCAGACACAAACACTTCTGCTCAAAAGAAATAATTCATTTTATGTACCCAGTCTGCACATCTTAATGCCCTTTTTCCATTCATTGCAGAACATTTACCAATGACACCAATGTGGGCCCAGTAGCATACAACAGCATATCAACATTTACTGGAGAAGAGTTCGATGAACGCCATTGGCCTGAGACAGGTAGTATGCCTATCATATTCTATTGTCAAAGGAACAAGGAGACATGCAGCGAATTAATGTAGGTAAGTATTATTTTCTGTGAATGAAGGTGTGCATCAGTTATAAGTATCCATTGTCTCTGTTTATATATGAATTACTTTATGGATTGTTCTGACAGAACTACAGCAACCTCCCTTTAGGCCATTGCTGATATATTACCTTTGAAAGAGAATCACAATTTATTAGTCCATACATAAAGCCAGAGATAGATGTGTGCTGGCTTATTTTGAAATATGACATCATATATAAAACGAAATAGGGGGAAGCTAAATTACACAGCTATAATTACGTTGAGTTCAGGTGGCATCGTAAATAATCCATTCACGATTCGCTCTCAGCGTTTATTATGTCACCAAAGCAATGTAATTAACACTGTATAGATGGGTTATACTCCCTGGATCAAACGCATTGTGGCACATGTATAAAAAAAATAAACAAACGTAGTTCATCATTCATAAAAATCCAACAGTTGCACGCATGAGGATGCGCAAATGCTGGGAGAAAAAAAACCCCGCAATTATTCTTCCAAATGTTTAAAGCTTTTATCATACAAACACATAAGCACATGCACCCACTGAGGTTACTCATGTGGAAAGTTATGCCTGTGGTTTAGTAGTCACAGTACTGGCACATATATGATTTTGTGCTGACTGAGTTCATGCCAGTTTCTATGTTCTCACTGTGAGTGTTCCCGCAAAAGCATTTACTATCAGATGCATTAGACAAAACAACAAGTATTGCAGAATCTTTCATGGAAGTGTCTGTTGAATTTGGAAATGGGATTATTCATACTAGAAGTCTGAGTCTACACATGATGCTCATCCAATCAAAGAAGAAAAATTGATCATTTGACTTACACGGCCAACCAAACCAGCCCAACTTTGTCATATCACATGTTCTCAATGAACTACTCACAATTTACAAATCAAGGATTACTCGCAAAATAAATGACAAAAAACATTCTAATGAATACATTTTAAAAAAAAAGACCTATTTTCAGAAAATTTGAGCAAAGAAAAATTAAATTAATAAAACAAATTATACCCCGTTCTACCCAGGAATCACCAAGTTTGACCCATCAGAACTTACTGTGATCAATAAGTAGGAGGTTTATGCCATACCACGAACATACATCTATCAGGATCAGTGAAGGCTTCACTGACAGTCTGAAGAATGGTTGGGGTAAGGTAGTTTGAAAGTTTTCCATCAAGATTTTTTTTTTGGTCTAAATGAAAATTGTTGAGGAAAGTGTCTGCTATTCTTGAACTTTTTTTATTTTATTTTTTTCAGCTGAAAAGTTTTAAGAGTTTTTCGGCTGAAAAATTTCAGTTTTGGTTGCCAACCCCTCCCCTCCATTTTTTTAAAAATGAAAAGTAAATTTCCCACAGAAAATATTTTCATTGATTTTTTTGGGGGGGAGGGGGGAGGACAGGGAAAGCTCTGGCCTGCTGTATGCAGGGGAAAGGGGGAAAGAGAAAGCAGATGAAGTGAGGGGAGGATAAAGAGGGGAGATGAAGGTAAAGCTAAAATATCATCCAGGGTTTTTCTGTGATCTTTAACACCATTAAATAATTAAATAGTATTTTTTAATTCTGGGGCTATATTTCCTTCTGGGGCCGAGGTGTCTAGAGAACCCCCTCAAACTCTGTTTATGTGATTTATGATGGGAACTGAGGGAATGCTCCTAACAAACTCCAAAACCACAAGAAATTTGACTGGTGTCCGATTTTATTAGGAAATCAAAATTCAGACTAAGTTCATGGAAACATTTTCTAAGGGTTCACAAACCTGAGCCACGATTTGAACAAACCAGGGAGCTAGTTTATGATGTTGCATCTAAAAACAAACAAAATTTACAGCTTCACATACTCAGGGCAGCTGAGAGTGGGTTCGGGCCCCGGTGAAATTTTTTTTTCGGGCCTCCCAGCAAGGGCGGACCGGCTAAACAGGGCAAACGAGGGGGGGGGGGAAGCCAGGCCCCCTTCCGGGCTGCCGGGCCCTGGTAATTTGTACCAGCTTTCTCCCCTCCACCCCCCTCGTCAGCCCTGCACATACTTCTCATGTAAAACAAGGCGAACCCAGAAGTTTCAGATAGCTGTATGCCTCAAGTTAAAAGTGATCTTGACCCCAAAACTCGAAGAAGAACTAAGAAGGCTACAAAATCAATCCATCTCAAAACTGCATAACCCCCAAAGGTAAAACTATTGAGCTGCTCAAATGTCTGACTATGAAAGGACAGATTGAATAGTACCAAAATAAATTAATTAAAGAATAATAATTTCAAATAGTTTCATTTAACAAATACTATTTCATTACTCAGCAACCAAACTATTTGACAAGTACTTGTTGACTAGTTATAGAACAGTTTTATACTGCAGAAATATTAAAGGAATAATGTATTACATTAATAACTGAAATATTCAAATGAATTCTTCAACTGCTTCTAATTTGCAGCCTCGACCGCTTTGAATGGAATGGCAACCCCACAATTCACACCTGCCTGTTATTTGTTCTATGAATAAAAGGTTCTGTTAACTAGAATTTATTATCTGTTTACTGGACCTATTGGGTCTGTATCTCTCAAAGCACTCACACACTTGCTCAACTTTAAGCTGAGGCTTAATTTTAAGCATTATGCACATGTTTAAAAAGTTGAGCAGGTGTAAGTAAGTGCTTTGCTGGATGGCAGCTATAGCAAGGGAGAAAGAAATACTTAATTGCCATGTGTTTTGCTGACAAACGTTTTTCCTTTACACCTATATTGCAATATTTACTTCAGATTCAAATTCACTTTTGCTTCATAGTGTACGAACACTGATCAGTACACAGTCAGGCTCACTCTCTGAGATTTCAGTACCTTTTAGTTCATGTTTTACCACTACAACTCCAGGACATGCACAAACTGATGGCTCCGCTGTCCCATTGGAAGGTAATCATCTTTAGGCTTTTGGGAATGCGATTAATTTAGATCTGGTTGAAAATGTTCAAATGTTAATTTTTTGAGGGAGAGGTGAGGTAAGAGGGGTGTCAAAAAAAGACAAGATTTTCATTTGCAAAAACATCTATTTTCTGACCAGTTCTAGGATAGTTATTACAGTTAAAAAAAATCAAATGGAAATAGTTTATTTGCATTGAAAATGGCCTTTTTTAGAAACGAAAATTTTCACAGGAAGCGCCTTTCTTTCTAATTTTGTGAGTTTTTGACAAAAACATCTGTGGGTTTTTTGTTTGTTTGTTTTTGTCCACCCCCTCTTTTGTTTCCCGTTTTTTCTCCTCTTTAGCCCCATTCTCCTCTTTCCCCTTTTGCTACTGCCAGTTTCCTGCTGCCATTGGGGGGATGGGGTAAGGAAAAAGGGAAAAGAAAGGGGGAAAATAAAGATCCAAAAACTCTGAAAAATATTTTTTTTTGGTCAAGAAATTGGAAAACTGAAATTTTTCATTAGACATATTTACCATCATTCAACCAGGCTGAATAATTATTATTCTAGGTGTATTTAATATGCCTTAGTGCAGGGGGATAGACTAGATCCACCCTACATTTTTGCGATTCAGAGGTTCTTTAAGATGCAGTTCTGCTCTGAAAAGGGACTCTGTAATTTATGAACAAGAGACAAACACACACATATATTTGTTGCCTCTCGTGGTTTTTGTGGTGAAATATATTTAATTTTTTAAACAAAAGGACTTTTTTCTTAACTGCCAACTTTGAAAACTTCATCTGGGACTGAAGAGTCAGGCTGGGTTCCCTCCTTGTAGATCATAAAGATTCTACAGGCCAGACCCTGTCCTCACACACAAGAATAAATACAGTCGGGTCTATTCTTAGAAGGGCTGAGGCCACGTCCCTCACACTTTGCACTTACAGTATGAATTTAGGGGCTCAAATCTGACTACTAACTACCTAATTTACACCTCTGGTAGACAGAAGCATACACACTCCATGTGAAAATCCTGGCTCCATTGAAAACAACGGTAAAATTCTCATCAACTTCAGCAGGGCCAGGATTTCACCCTCAAATTTGTACCTGCAATTGGATCATGGGTGCAAACTATGCTCATTAAAGGGATGCCTCCCTTAGGAGAATTTGGCCCAATAGGTCCACAAGAGACAAAGATACAGGTGGGCTGGCACGGCTCCTCAGCAGAAGAGACGATTCAGGAGGTTAAACTCATAGCAGAGTCTTTTATTAAACAGCGGCTGCCTTTCTTCTGGATATATTACTTGATGCCAAGTGGTGGGGACAATTTTTTTTTAAAGTAAAGAATATTTAACGTCATACACAGAGAAAAACGGCCCCTTAAATTATTTGTGGCATGTCCTCTGTGCTATGGAGGAACAAAGCTCGCTCTCTCAAGGCGCTGCAGCAGAGTTCAGGAGCAGCAATGGTAGTCAGGAAACAATTTATGGTCCTCGGGGAGAGATCTGCTAGGGTCCTGTGGAATAAGATAAAATATTAGATTTTTTTTCACAGGGGTAGTGGAGATGAGAGATGCAAATCCATTTCACAGGGATTGTGCTTTCCCTCTGTCAAGCGGCAGGATTTGCAGAGGGGAGTTAATAACCAGGTTTGATTTCAATGCTGCTTTTCTTTTTTCTCCTCCCCAAGCTCTGTTCCCAAGGAATTTCACAGCATGAACAGAGCTTCTCCAAAAGTGGCGGGGGAAATGGTGGGAAGGCAACAACAGAAACACATGGAGACTTTGCGCAGCTGATTATTTTAAACAGTTCTGTTTGGAGTGCTTTTGGTTACGGATGTGATTCGTGAAGGACAACACAGGGCTCTCAACCTGGGTGTCCTCTAGAAAAGCTGATCACCTTGATGCTCTTGTGCACCATACCCAGATCCCTGTGGGATCCCCCAGTTTGAGGCTTGGCATCACAGTCAATGATTATATCTGGGTCCTGACTGAGGGGGTTCTGGGTACCTCTCCGGAACTGCTGCAGCGTCCCATCCTACACTGGAACAAGCTCATTGTGCGCTGTTCTTTACACCAGTCCTGCACTCACAGAAACATTCCTCATTTTACCAAGAGATAGCTATTAGCAGCTGGAAAGAGCTACGTAAAACTGACACCTACATTCCACTTGCTGAAGAATTACACCCTCATTTAAGACTTTTTCCCCCCTGTTAGACAATGTCTTTCCCTCTCCCACACAAACAGACACAGTTCTTTCACACAGATAGTTCAGTACCAAAAAAAAAAAATACCGTGGACCACAAATATACAGGGTCAAGCTTTCAAAGGCAGGCACAGCACAGAATGCGGAAAAACCAAGTGGTGCTGCAAAGGCCAGTATTCTCAGGGACAAATGACTATAGGAAAACACAGAAATGGGCAATTGCTCACATCAGTGCTCAGTTGTGCGCCAGCCACCCACCACTTCAGCCTCCTTGAGGAACACAGCCCTATGGGAGAGCGGAGCCACTGCAGGGAAGGACATTTCCACATTTGTCTAGGACAGCAAAATCCTCAAAGCTGGCACTGCTCAGAGAGCTTGACCCAAAGTGCATTGAAATCAATGGGAGTCTTTCTCCTGACTTCAGCGAGCCTTGGATCGGGCCTATAAATCGTCTCTCATTATCCAGCTTGGTCCTTCTTCCATTTCCACATCATTCCATTTTCCCTGGCACCCAGGAATGCCCAGAGCCGTGCAAATACAAAGGCAAAATGATGTAGTTAGCTGAAGCTTTGTTCCTGTGTCAGGATCCTCCGCGGCAGAGGCTGCAGTGCCGGGAGCAGGCAGTCGAGCCCAGCCAGCCCCGTGGGACAGGC